AGTGCCTCTTGTGGTGAGTAGTCGGGTGTCGTCTGAACGCGGAGTACAAACTCGTGGGTCAGCGGATGCGGCACTTTATAGCCGGCGAACAGCACCTGTGGGTCTTTGAGGAGTTGCCTACGGGATGAACAACGAGATAATGAGTGCGTGAAGACATGGCTGAGAGTGAGTGGTGTCATACATGCGGATCATATTGCCGACGGTGTGGTCCTCCTTCTGCACCGTAAAGATGGCCGCATTCGGCACTTTCGTGTCCTTCTCGATCATAATCCTGCAGACATGCCATCATTGGGTCAATGGATGTACTGGTGGTGACAATGAATGGGTGATCACTTACTTCTTCTCGCCATCGAAGAGGAGGAATGACTCGAAAGCCGGCGGAGCGTTCATTGCGAGGACGGGTCCGACGGTTCACTACAACAACACTATTGCCGACAAAACACACAAACAATGAGTCAATCAATCAGTCAATGAGTCAATCGTTTGACGCAAAGAGTCCGGCATTCAGTCAATCAAAACATGTGTTCATTTGTCGAGCACTCAGACGATAGGGATCTCAGAGACACACAGTCTGTGGCGGTAGAGGTGTGCGTACTCTGTGTCTGACTCTTACAGCCAGTGTATGGGTAGTAGTGGAGTGTCTGAACTGTGCTTAGGTTACGCCACTGAGCGCCGGGGGTTCACTCGTACGACTGTCCACTCCCTTCGCCTTATTAATGGCTTTTGGTTGCGCTTACGTTCACTGACTTATGACTTATGGCGAACAGAATTTAATTCAATATTACTTAGTATGCAACAAATTCTTGGGCACATACCTAACCACGAGGTTAGCTAGAGAGCACCTGTATGTAGGGGCACCGGGTGGACAGTGGGGTACACACGCATTCACATGCACTAGCGATGCCTAACTAATGGATTATACAGTCTAAGCCTATTAGAGTGGATGTGAGTCCAGACACAGTCAAAGCCCTATTACCAAAGGGATGCTAATAATGAATGATGCGATGGCTGTGAATGGGTGGCCAGGGATGCGATGGCTGGGCACTGGATGCAGGCAAGGGTTGTGCAGAGTTGGGTATTTCGTAATAGCGCGTTGGGGAGGGAAGGGGTGGTGGGAAGGGAAGGGATGGGATGGGAAGGGAAGCCGTTTAGCCGTTTGGCATGTCGTTCCCCACCGCGAAGCTGAGCACTAGAGCGGTGACTGCGATATGAAGTCTAGTCTCGTCTGTAATAGTGGACTGACTGTGCAATGCATGCATTCAATGCATTGAGTGGTTGTGTGCACTGACTGTCTGTCAGACATACACACAGACGCAGACATACATCGCTCGCACCGGCTTTAGTGCCGTATAATACGGTGTGTTGTAAGCAGTCGTCGCTTACAATCTTTTTTTAACTCTTTCGCTTCAATACAGTGAGGGTTTCATTGGTTATCCGAGTAGTGAAGCGTTGGCTGTGCTCTGTCTCTGTACTACTGGCTGTGCAACAGTGCTAACAGTGAACACCGACACCACTACCAGCACTACCACCACTACCTACTCTTGGGTTGTATAGCGTGTATAGCGTTGCCTAACGCTGGAGAGAGCCATACCATCATACCATTAGCCATAGCCATAGCCGTGTGGTGTACAACATCTACATAAGTTTGTCCTTGCTTTTTTATAGCATACATACACATACCAGTGCCGCCAACCAGTGATGGCTGTGTCTTACACTCACACTCCAGCCTCAGACACAGACCCATCACCATCAGCTCCATCATCAGACACACTACCAGTGCTGCAGACACTGTGATCACCACAATGTCCATTACGAAAGGTAACTAACCATTCATACCATTCACTCGTTTCAATAGATCCTACTCTATATGAATGCATGATTAGCGTAGAGTCGGAGGGATGAGAGGACCGGGCGCTCACTCTCTCACCCCTACCCTCTCTATGCTCTCTCCTATGCTCTCTCATAGCTATTAGTGGAGAATGTGATGATTAGAGATGAACCTAATGTTCATTTCGTGCACTACTTTCGCACACATTCTCGTCTCTCCCAATGCTATCATAGCAGTCACTGCTATGAATGCTTCACATTATTATCATTTATAGTAATGTATGTAATATTCTCCACAATCTATACATACCATACATTTCGCTACACTCTATCAGTGTATGACTCTATCTGAGCAAATGAGTCTCAATTCACTCTCATCTCTATTCACTCTCTTTGAGCGCAACTTTTATTATAATATATTTTAATTCATGACTTGAAAAAGTAAATTCATTTTTGTGTCGAGTTTTAAATTTGCGCTCAAAAGCTACACTCGTTTAATACATTTAATTATAGCGTGTATTTCCCTAAAGATGTAAATTTTTGCTATTTTTGTCTCAAATTGTGATTTTTGTTATTTATATTTACCTCTCGTTTCACTTCCTCCTAAAGCCTCTCATTCTTTGATCACATTTTGCTTTTGCTTTTTGTTTTTCATTTGGAAAAAAACAAATTTTATTTTTCTCTTTCATCTCATACTTTCATTTTATTGTTGATTGTGTTGATTGTCAGTCAGACACTAAATTAAGTTAGTAGTAGTAGTCGTTTCTACCCTTTCCCTACTACCACCACCACCAGCCTCTCAACCCTACCACCACATCGCCCATACATATCCGCACGCACTGTACCGCCGCTAATACACCGATCGCTATATGGTGTACAGCAGTGGTGTGTAAAGCAGCGAACAAAGTGTCAGTTCTTTGCAGACATAGACATAGACTGCACTAGACTTGAGAGCAGACTATTAGCACTGTTAGGACTGTTAGCACTGTATGAATGAATGAATGAATTCTTGGCCATCAAAACAAATCAATACTCTGTACTCGACATTCACTTCTTGTGCTGCACTGTACGCCAACATACCATTCCCTACCACTCCATGCCATACACACTGTATTCCTCTATTCTGTGATACTGTCTAACAGTATATATATATATATATTATATACTTTATATATAAATAAAATATTCAAATACTTATACGTTTTCTTGTTTTAATAAAAATAAGACAAAAAGCAATAAGAATTTTGAGGCAATTATTGTTTTTATTGCTTTAAAATAAAGTTTATTTTAGTTTTAGTTTTATTCCATTCACTCGACACCACTTTATTTGAATTATTTGACAATAAATTAGTCAATGAATATATATTGTTATAAAATATCATAATTTGTGTGCATATTCTTTACTATAATTCTATACATTGTGTCAATAGATAAAGAATTTTATTTTATTATTTAAAGTGTGCAATAATTGACTTGATTACGATTATTACGAATATTAGGATAATTTGTGAGCTCATAATTACTTGAAATAGCCTATTGTTTGCATTGAGTGGGATTTATAAGTGAAGAATTATATTCACCGTCTAATAGACTAGAATTGATTCAATTCTCCTCTAATCTAATCCGCGATTCCATTCAAGTATTGATTTAATAATGTATTTGAGAGTTAGTTGTAGACCAGTATATCGTAATGTACATCTAGTCTACAGTGTATTGTGCAGTACTGTACAGTACACTGAATTTATGTACACAGTATTAGTGCAAACAATAAGTGTATTCTTGAGCTCAGCCTATGCTGACATTCACCATATATTACACCATTCACTGTGCAGTATATACAGTATATAAAGACAATTTACGGTAGAATACAGTTTAAGCTTTGACTTCATTTCATTGATGTGTAACTCAACTCATGTCAAACACAAAGACAAATAAAATTTATTTAATAAAACAAAAGCCTTTCTTAACAGAAGGTTAGAATAAATATCAAAAACATATTACAGTGTATGTACTGTATGTGTGTGTGTTTTAGCTAAGCATTTAAACATGAGTTACATAAAACTGATTTATTCGCTAATTTTATTATTAATAAAAATTATAAACCAATATAACTTCTAATTAGTGTCTCGATAGTTTTATGTCTATTCCTAAAATTATAGAGCTTATATCTAAAATAGTCAAATAATTAGTATTTAAATAAGTTGAATGACAAATCAAAAGACTTTTTATTTCATTTTTACGATTCATTCATTATCTTTTATGAATGATAAACAATATTTAATATTTTATAAATTACTTCAATTCATCACAAATTCTAATTTATTGGCAATACTGTATTGTACTACAAAACAAAAAACATTTTCATATGTAATTGTAAAGAATATTTGCTAAAATACCAATATTTTAAAACCTATAAAATAAAACAATTTGTATGATTAATACAACTACTGAACACTTAATAAAATAAACTATTTTTTTATAAAAATGTTTAAACAAAAAGTCAAATTAATTTATATTTAGGTCTGTGTTAACTGCACACTCCGTCTCATGCATTGCCATCAAAATGAAACTAATTTTAAATAAGAAAATATTTAAGTATCAAATAAAATAAAATAAAATTTAAATATTATACAATATTCTTAGTTGATATTAGATTTTAAATGTGTTTTTATATGGCTTTTAAGTTGACACGAAGAGGTATAACGCGAGATATTAATGAATGCTATATTAAATAAATAGAGATATACTTGTAGTTGTATTTTGTTTGAATGCGAGAATATATTTGACATTTTGCTATTCAATTCAAACATAGGTTTTCTTTTGTGTAATTATAATATTTCTCTTTATTTGTCTAATTTATTGCTTAATAGTGTTTCTTAATCTATAATCAGCTCATTGTGTGTGAGTTGAATGAATAGGACTTTCAGCACAAACCAAAAAATCGTTGCAATCTCTGCGAAGATCAGTGGCTAAGACAGTGCCAAAGGATAGGGAGAAGGAGGGAAAGGGAGACACTGAGAGAGGGAATGAGAGAGAAAAGAGTTTGAGTTGAAGTAAGGGGTTGTTTGTGTTGAGCAAAAATGGCAGTAACTCATAGTTAATAAAAAGTAGAGCCAAATAAAAGCAATTAAACAGGTTTTTTGTCTCTAAACACGATTCTTGTGCCCAACATTTGCAGCAACATTTAGCTGATGAACAGCTGCTGTCACACAACCAAACACTCACTCCATAACCATAACCCTATCCCTAACTATAGCTAATGTTATACAACTCTTCCAACCCTTTCATAGCCTTTCATAGGCTGTTCATATGTGTTGAGTAGACACTAGTCTACTATTAATGCAGAATAGTGTGGAGAGAATACATAAGAGTTTTAATATTATTATTATATACACTATTTTATACACAAATTGCAAAAGAGAAAGAAAATATTAATATTGATTCACTAAATGCCATATAAATGACAGACTGTTGGCTCAAATTAGTGGTTTTGATTTTGATTTTATTTTACTTTCGTTTTATTTTATTTTATGTTTACGTTTCTCTTGTTTTTGATTATATTTTTCGATCCAAACGAATCGTTGCTTCAAAAAACAAAACTCCATTCACTTATATACCAAACACACACTTTGATGTCAATTATTTATTACATTAACACTACAATTTATGTATCGATTCAATAATTAGCACATAAATTCATTTTTATAGACTATCTATTCATTTTTCAGTGCAGAT